AATTATTTAATACTGTACATATTGCATCTTCAGAAATCATCAAAACTTCCTGAGCTTTACTCCATTCGACCCAGCATGGTGTTATGCACCTCCACTCTCTACAAATTCGCACCCACCCAATAAAATTCTTGCATAAACAAGTATATTCTTTGGTTTTCTTTCTTGGTTGTATATGTTGTATATGAGTTCCAGTTGAAGTCTTTGTTTACAAATTGTGCCTAGATTTTAATTTCGTTTACAATTTCAATACTCTCTATTGTGATTATTTTCTTTTTCATGAATTCGAAAACAATTTCTTTAGTTTCATCACCAGTATTTAGAATAAAATAATAATTATTGCACCATCTCTCAAATTTACGAATAGAATTTCGAACAGAATTTACTTTATTACTTTATGGGGAGAAATCACTTCTAACCTAAGCATAATGGTTAAAATGTTATGGCTTTTAGAAATTTTACCTCTAAATTATTGTATACACCGAATGTAAATGGTCAATAAGTAGGCCTAATTTTTACAGAGACACGAACATGCCTTTAAATTTTAATCAAAGTCAATAAGGGAAATCTTGGACAAAATATTAATTTTCTAATAAATATATAATAAATATGTTTTCTTTGATTTTCATTCGTTAGAGACACCTCATCAATATTAAAAGAGAACTAGCAAAATGATTTGTTGTTCTAGAGTGGATTTTTGATATGCCATTAATAATAGAATCAACCTTAAAATCGTTTTTTGGCTATTTTTTATGAAATTATAGACGATTATATACGATTTTACCATGACGTCACTGGCGAAAAAGTAACAAAAGATCGTGTAAATAGCACCGCGTATGGAATCCGCCGCGTATGATCTTTGCGTGCATGCTGTAACAATCACAATTTACAGCCATGGTGTACCTAAATACAACGGTGGGGGAAAACTAGAAGATGTAACAGTAGTATGTTCTATTAACTTAAAATTTGTACTCGTTAAAATGGGTTATACTGAGACGATTTTCACCATTCAAAAGTCGATATAAAATGTGCTGGTTAACGTTTATTAAGATTTTTGGAAAGAAAATAATGAAATTATGTCTCTAAATAGAAGTTCATATACTGTACATCAGCCGAATGTAGTACAATTGTTTATCAGTGTGATTAATCTGCTCAATAAACAATTTTAATTACTTGTGCAAATATAAAAATGACGGTTGGAAGCGACGATCGAAGAAAAACGGTTAAGCAAGCCAAGGACTTCGCTAACTTCCATTCCTCATTATTAAAATCCTTCCATTCATGGGCACTGTCTAAAACTTTCTTCCGGCTTATCTCTGAAATTGTAACCTTTTAGTCTGCAGTTGGCTCAACATACAATACTGTACATTCATTATCCACCATCAACTAAACTGCCTTAAAGGGAAAAAAAATCGGTTCGTGTGGGAATCGAACACACAACCTCCATGTTTGCTAGGCATTATCCACCATCAACTGAACTGCCTTAAAAACTAAAACTGCCTTTAAAAAAAAACTGGCTCGTGTGGGAATCGAACCCACGACCTTCAAAAAATAAATAAATAAATACATTTATACATACAATACATCGCCGAGTTTACTACGGAGGGAGGTAAACCGCGGCCCCTAAACCATAAATGCGATAAACCTAGTACCACACCAAGTACCAGTTAGTCAACTCTGATCCTACTAGAAAAAAATACATATACACTACAGGTTAATATTACGCGTGGTCATGGTGTCAAAAATGGGCCGTGGGCCAAGAGGGGTTTTTTTTGTTTTTTTTTTGTCTAAAAATGTAGAATTAAATTTATAATCGATTTTTGATTGTTACCATCTCCATAACTTACACACT